CCGCGCTTCCTCCCGCCTCACTTGATCTCCTTCCGCGTGAACAGCCCGACCCGCTCCAGCTGCTCAAGCTCCGGGACGCGGTCCTCCAGCCGCTGCTCGATGCGCTCCGCCATGACAGCGCCGGTGCCGTCGCCTCACGCGTGCGCCCGGCCCGGCATTCCCCGCCGCCACTTCCGGCCGCGCCGCTCCGCCCCGCCCACCATCTTCCGGGGAGCGGCCCCGCCGCCCAACGGCAAAATGCCGGCCGGGGGAAAGGGCACCGAGTGGGGGTGTCCCGGTGAGCGCTCCAACGGGAAACCGGCTCCAAAGATAACGGTTTTGTGGAGTCCTGGGGGTAAGGGCGTCTGGAGGGCAGGCGGAGAGATGGGCTTTAACGGTTCAGGAGCCCCCAAACCGCTGGGTGGTCCCCTGGGGTGTCTTCTCCAGCCAGAGCCATCGCCCAGGCGAGGGGACGTCGCCTTCTGGTGGGATTCCTCACGGCTCTGCCCCTCTCACACAGCACCTTTCTTCTGAGAATCATAGAATCATTGAGGTTGGAAAAGATCCTTGGGATCTTGGAGTCCAACCATCGACCCCACTCTACAAAGTTCTCCCCTACACCCTTATCCCCCAGCGCCACATCTGAACAACTCTTAAAACACATCCAGGGATGGTGACTCAACCCCCTCCCTGGGCAGCCTCTGACCGCTCTCTCTGAAGAATTTTTTCCTAATGTCCAGAAAGATTTAACACCACCACCAGATGATGGTAAATTCCCGTTTTGTAAATTAGGGAAGTCCCAGGAAATAAAAAAAAAAAAAAAATGATGGTGAGAAGTAAAGGTTTTTGAGAGCTGCTTTAAATACATATTATCCACAGCAGTATCTTCTGCTGATGCTTTGAGCTGTGGCTGCCATCACCGAGCTGTAAGAGCTGGAATCATACCTTCCAACCTGCCCTGCCCTGTTGTGATCATTACTCCCTCCTGGAGGAAGAGGCAGGAGCCATTTCTCGGGTAAAGCAGAGGATTTAGAGGCAGTGGAGTAGGGGCACAAGGGCTTCTGGCACAGCTTTCTTCATGTAGAAGAGGCAAAAAAAAGCTGTGGGTGATTTCCCCCTTTTATTATGGTAGAATGGCTTAAAAAGTGTTGCCGAGTCCAGAGCAAGAACCTGACTTCTGCTAAAAGCACACATAAGACAAAACACTTCACAAGAACTCTCAAGAACAGTGGTCATTTCTTTCACCTGCTACGATTTGGGTCTGTGGTGGTTTCTCTCAATATTGGGTGCCAAGTAAAGGAAAAAACCTAATTCTCAGTGGCAGAGGTTTAGCAACTTTTCACTCTTGACAGGAAGCAGCGACACCGTTTTCCAAGAAGTGATCGAAGAGGAAAGCTACCAGGAAACAGAGAGGCACCATCCAGTCACAAGAGCAAGAACTAGAGAGTTCTGAGCTGGGTGGTGGCGGCAGCTCCGCACCACAGCCCTCTGGTGCCCAGGGACACTGCCCCACCTCGCCAGGAAAACAGCAGCTCCTGCCCCAACTGCCACAAGCTATAATTGGGTTGGGTTTTTTTTGAGATGCACCAGCTCAAACTGATTTTCATGGAAGTCCACAGACTTTACTAAATTAGTACTTCAGGACTACACTGCGCATGAAAAGTAGCATTAGCGTATTGAATCGCTAATCAAGAATGACTATACTTTATTAACTACATCTATTTTGATATTTCTGCATCTGATGGCATGATTTTATGCTATAAAAGCGTTCTGTATGTAGAGCTTGTGTGTCACGGTGCACGTAGATCACCCCATGTAAATGAGAACACCGCACGCAGTGTAGGAGTTCAAAGCTGCAAAGGTAGATGTCAGTCATTACCTGGAAACCTCCAGGAAATTCTATTTCTATCTTCGTGCTCTCCTCATTCTTTAAACACCGTGCTCTCCTCTGCCTGAAAACCAGCAGTAACTCTGAAAGAGGGACACAAACATAAACGACAGAGTCTTCTCCTGAAACTTTATGGTTGATCATTCTATCAGCCTGAAAATATTGTTTTGTGATCAACCTGCAGTGTTGTGCCACCTGCAGTCAGTCAGGAACTCTGAAACTCAAACCCCACCACCAAACAGTCCATGACTGCTGTAACGTGGATGACAGAGAAGGATGTGTGCCCCAAGGGGCAACAGCAACCTCCACCTCGAATTGTGCCTCCAGGAGAATTCAGTCACAGGCACGCATCTACCAAGAGGTCTTGCACAGGCACATGTGAGAGTTACTCACATACTGCCCACATCCCAACAACAATGTGTGTCCAACAATGCCTCTCAGGGCATTAAATCCCTTGTTAGCACTTGTCAAAGCACCACAATATCAGCCGCTAGAAGCATGTAGGCACAGCCCAGACCACTCCGCAGGACCCATCACTGTGGGACTCAAAGTAAGAAAGAATGGTGTGCACCAAGACAATAGACTCCCCAAGTTTCTTGTTTAGGGGCCTAGTGTTTCCCACTCAAAACCACATGCAGAGTAACAAAAAGATTGAAAGTACCAAACTTGTTGATGACCTGATGACCTCGCAGGATTATTTACAAATAAAATAGATCACAAACCCATCGAAAGCATTTTCTGTTCCCTCAGCTATCCCTCCTTTCCTGTAAATGGAAAAAGTAAGGGAAAAAAAAAAAAGCAAAAAAAAAAGCAGCCTTTCCTTTTCTTCTCCCAGCAAAACAATCCTTAGAACAATTAACATAACGGACTGTCAAAAGTGTTCAAACCAAAGTGACAAACGCAGTGAGTGGCAGGCAAGCCCAGCCCGACCCACCAGAACACTGCATGCTGGATTTGTCATGCAAATCAAAATGGAACCTGACATGCTCTTTGTTCATTTTCCTTTCAAAAAATCTACTTTAAATGCCTCCCATGTGCCTTGTTTTGGAAGCTGACATTCCAAATGCATCAGTGCAAATTAAGGGAGGGATCCATTACCAATAAAGACGTTGTGATCCAGAGAATTTCAACAAATCTTATTGGGAAGAGCAGAGGGAGAACTGCTGCAGCTTGCACCTGTAGGGTCACTCCGTTTTCTGCCACTGCTGCTTCTTTGATGAAGCCTCTTTAGAAAAACTCCAGCAGTTGGTCCTTGCAGGAGAAGTTCTGGCAAACTGTCACGGCTTAATATGTCTAGATTACAGTCTGCAAGCAATGGATACATTGTGAATTAGGAATAATAGCAGTGGGTTTGCTTTAAGTCTTTATATTAAAATGCATGATGGTTAATGTGCATAAACCAAATATTTAAATTATGAATTGATTTAGATATATCTTATTTATTTCTGCTATTTTGCTACCTGACTGCATAAACAATTACAGCTTTTTAGAAGATGCCACCAGATGTACAGTATTTTACAGTTAACTTACACTCTATGAAGATGCCTTTTAAACAATGAGCGTGACGTTCTGACCTCATGAAAATAATTGGGAAACTTCCACTGAGTTCAGCTGAGCCAGTGGCTCATCCTTAGGGACACATTTTCAACAAAACCCTCAAAGAATTTACTGAGTATGTGGGACTCCGGTTTAAAAAATATATGAACACATCTGTTAATAAAGCAGCTTGGAATTTACTCTCAAAAACAGACTAACTCAAAATTTGGACTATATTAACTTCCCTAGTTTTTGTAATTAAAACAATGACAATTTGGTTTCGCCTCTGCCAAAACGGTCTATCTGCATAAACAGGGGTTTCATCACTGCAGTTCCACACTAAGCCTCCAAAAATTTATATTTAAGACGGTGCAATCAGTCAGTTGGACTACTCCATACATACTTACGTACTGGTATGTGTACCTGTATTAAAAGAAATGTTATTTTTCCCATTCCAATAGACCATTGCTTGTCTTTGTCAATGCATGGCTTTACTCTTGCAGCTTGTTGGCCCTTACCCTGCAGCATTAGGTCTGAACACTACCTAGAATTTCATTCACTCACCTCTTCTTCAACTATTACTGGTTAAAAAACCAAGCGTTTTCATTCAATGAATTATCCAACAATTCACTCTTACATACAGTCTCTTAAAAAAGGCAAGAACTTTACTTTCTTCTCTGCGTTAGCTCTGAACTTGAATATTTATGAATGAGATTTGTCCTCCTACTCATTTTGAGGCGTTCCATTATTTCTCAGTTGCCCCAAGATCTGAACAACTACACAGAAGGAATTTTCAGTGAAGGGGAACGATGCCTCTGGAACTGTTTCCTTGCCATTTCACATCTGGTATTCAGTATGAGATCCATCTGTTTATTCAGGGTCTCCAGGGGCTTGTACAGTAGTGGCTATAAGTATGCCTTTTAATTTGATTCTGTCATTTGGCTGGTTAGTAAGTAGTTGACAGTCCGTCTAAATGCAACAGGGCAGTTACAACTAGTCAGTCATCACATTCTAGTTGCCAGTTCATAATCCAGTGGAATGCCAGTCACAATTCAACAATTTGAAACTGTATCAGTCATCTTTTACATCCTCCCAAATTGTCAACACCATGTAATGTATTGCTTAATTATCTTTAATTTAATATTATTTCTCGCATGTACATTTGTATGTAGGATTGCTGCCAGAGCTCTGTAGAGCAGAGTCGTGCTAATCTTAATTTACCTCAGTAACCTGTCTAGGTTTGAACAGTAGGTGAAACTGGCACGGCCTTGGGTGACCCAGCTTTATCAGAAGTAACAAGGCAGGTAAAAATAGAACTTCTCAAGAGCAAAGCCTCGTATCTTTTAAACGCAAAGATATCAGTACCAGGATCAATTAAACTGGCATGCCAAAGAGCATAAATTATGCCACATATAGACTTATTTCTCCTTCCAAAAAGTGGGATTAGGATTGGTCGCAATTTGCTTCCTGCTGTTTCTGTGGAGAAGTGTTTAGCGTGGTAAAAGTACTTTGACCACAGTCATGGCAACAACCGGTAAAACTCCTTCTGGAGTATGGATAATTCAGATTATAGTGTGGGGAATCATGTATCGCAAGCAGCATTCCGAAAACAAGATAAACCCTGGTAAAAGCCTTCTGAAGCAACCTCTAGCATATATAAAAAAGCACAGATAACATGTTAACTTTTGTATGAAACACTTAGATAAGCTCTCCTGTGTGTGAATTTTGTCTACCTGTGCTAACTGGAAAACACTGAGAAAACAGTTTCTGCCTTGATCTTATCATTTAAGTAATTGCTGATGATAAAATTCAAAATTCTCATCTTACTAACCTGTATTTGGTTTAGCCACAAAAGAAAGAATTTACCCCTGTTAAAACTTATCCCTTACTTAAAGCTGAAATTATTTGTTAACTAATGGATTTGAGGTTTCATTTTACTATCTATTGACATATTCTTTGATCCTCCTATATTTTTCTTTTCGATTGACTGAAGCTTTCGTTCTTGCACTGTCAACAGACCTTTTAATGAGAAACTTCTATTTACATCTGTAACAGACTTAATTCTCACATCTCCCCAGCAGTTTCTCTTTGATCTCTGCATTTCTGAGTTTAATCATTAAGTTTACATCACAAGTTTTTCAGTTGCCGTATTTTTCACAGTTTCCGGGACTCGATTCAGAGAACACAATTCCTGAGAGTTCACTTAGAACTATTTTTTGATAGTTTTGCAGTAAGTACTACACGTGCTGGACCTCTGAAATTATAATATGAACAAGCATGATTCCTATTCCATTTCCATTTAAACAACAAGATTTGGCATATTTTTTTCTGTGTATTTTGTTTGGAATAATACATCAAATATATTGCAGTGTGGGTGGGGTTTTTTTATTTATCACATTCAGGAAGTCTACAGATTTTCTGTAAAAAAGGCAAACAACTCAGGATTAAAATATTAAAAACGTGTGATTTTCTTTTCTGAAGCTCAAGTTTAAAAAGTAGGCTCATGACAAAGATCCACAGTCTCTCTGAGGACAAAAGGGACAAGAACTTTTATACAGCTCACCTCAAGCACCTTCAATTTTTTCAAACAATTACAAATTTGATGAGGACATTCAAAATGAAGGGCGCAGACCAACAAGTAAGCCAGATAAGGTCTGTTATCTGTGTTGTGACTCCACGAGTCCTTTTCCTACCTATGGAGTCTTCAGTGATACATGGAATTTATTCAGATTTCAACAAAGGTGAGTAACAATACCTTGTTTTCTTTCAACAGATACTTCCTTTTGAATTTCATCCAATCTTATATGAATAAAGATCTTGTTTTAGACTTGGTCTTTAAGTGGATGTTATCCCGAACTTACTGGTTTTACATTATAAATATTTGGGGTTTTTTAGTTCATTGTATGAGATTATTTTCTGTAATTAATGCTTTTACTGCTAGTCCATTTCTGGGCTTACAGTTAAATCATCTTAAGAGACCTCCTACTTTTCTAGAGTAAATTAATATATTGGGCCTAGGCTTTTCTTAATGCTTTTGAATCAATTCTGGTATTTTTAGTCCACTATCTAAACACTAAAGACAAACACTACTGCTAAAAAGCCACCAAGCAAAAATAAATCATTAACTGAAAATCAGGAAATAAATTTCACTGTAGGAGAGTCATGAAAAATATATTAAAACGTCCAAGACTCCAAGAAACAACTCCTGAGCACACATTTCTACTAAGCAATTATGACTAATAATTATCATTTAATGTTCACCATGTGAATGCAGAAGATAGGTGACTCAGTGGTGCAAAATATACTGTGCATTCCCTTTTCACTCTCTACAGTAACTCAAGACATGTAAGCAACCTGCTCGCTGAAAGCTGTGCATTATGGGTGCATTAAGATTCCCTGAGGGCCAAGTTCCTTGAGTACTGTGCTCCTGGAATACATTTGAACAGCTCTGTACAAAAGCAGGCCCCGGCCAAACACATGAATGAGAATCACAAGTGGCTGCTCTGTCAATCTGCCGCGCATACGGCATTCATAGCTGTACATCACAATACTTGCATTGCTGTGTCAGATCTTAGCTCTTCCCTTTGCCGTGCTTCACTACGGTTGTTCCCTTACAGTAAAGTTTATTTTCTCTTCTCTTAGTTCCCTGCTTATAAAAACAGGGCAGGACTAGACATTAACATGCAGAAAAGCAAACGGAAACCGAGAGCTACCACCCCAACGGCAACATGATCCTGCCATCCTAAATATACCCTGTACTCCGCCTACCCGCTCTCACGCTGTCACCCAGAAAGCTGTAGCTACTCCCTTTCTCCAGATGCAATATTATGTAGCCTCTGTTTACAAGAGACTGGGAAAACACAAAGTGGGAGTTGACTTTTGCTTTCCAAGTAGGTAGGGAAGAGATTATCTAATTCTTTCCATTGCCTGTTACTGCTGGTCAACATGGTATCAGGCTGAAAATAAAGAATATGAACTGAAAAATTAATTCATAACTATTGCAGATGAAATTAACCCAGCATCTACTGAAGTTTATTCATGAAAGGGATGCCACTGAAATGGATCTGGATTCAGAGCACAGTGATACAGCTGTGGGACCCGTACCTTCCCATCTCTGCGTGAAGCGTTTTTGTTTGTCTCAGTTCTGTAGCATTTCTGCTTTCTCACTTCTCTCATGGAAAACCTGGATTTGGTGGGCTGGACAGAGAGTGGGAAGGAGAACCTGGAAGCATGAAAAGAGAAAGAAGTGAAGTTTGGATGTAACCACAGAAGTGGAGTGTGTAAGGCCTCTTCCATGCTGGATGCCCTTGAATCCCACTGAATGTGCTCGAGGCCAAAATAAAGAAATGCAGAACATTGGCTGTGGATTTGTTATTCTCAGCAACACCCTGAACAGCAAACTTTAGTTCCTTACCAAGGTGATACAATAGGGCTCCCTAATAAATACTGACACTGGCTTTCATGATGGCCTGAATCTGCAAGCAAGTTTTAAAAAAGATTGACCAAAAGTATATATTCAGCTAGTAAGCACTACTCTTTTGTTCCAAAGTTGTATTTAAAATTAAATTCCCAGAAAATAAGCTAGATCTGTACTATTACTTAGTTACTAACAATCTATGTGGATGGACCCACGTTTATAGATGTGAGGAAAACAGTAAATATATCAACAGAACTTTCATTTAGACTGAACCCCAGATACACAGGTATTTATTTCTCCTTTAAAAAAGATTTACTTCGTAAATATTCCTGTGCTGAGATATAGTAATTTGGAGGACTGAAAGTTGGAAAGTTAAGTAGCGTGGCTACAGGGGCAGTGTGGGCAACCAAGAAAAGCTTGTAACTGTAAAATGAAGAAAAAAATTCATAAAGTGACACTTTTTCATATATATTGGAAGAGGTAAAAATCGCTGCAGTTTAACCTTTCAAGGTGACAGGAATGCTGGGTTGGTACAGGCTGCAAAAAGCCTTAGGAAAAAGAGATTTAGAAGCAGCAGACACTTTCAATCTGCAGGAAACAAATCTGATCTTATGGATATCAAACACAAATCCCACTAACAGTACATGAAAACAAGAGTGGATTGGCCACCTCGAGACATAAAATCTGACATATCATAAAAGCACCCCTGCCAACTACTTCTACTTTCACTACCAGAAATTTGTTCCAACAGCAACTCTGGTTCACAAATTATTGTTTCTTCCATTTATCATATTAAACTTATTAAACTGCCCTCTTTGGCATTATGTTAGAACATTTTCTACATTTGTAGCAAAAAAAAATACACTACTTGTCATCATCTTTTTAAATTTTATGGGTCGATATCAATTTCAGTAATGTACACTGTATTTCACTGCTTGTCTTTTTTTGACTACTTTATTAAAAAATACATTTTCACTGGCTTTGCAGATACCCTATCATTTGCTAAATATGGCCAACTTCTTCTGTTGCCTGATGTATATACATAAAATGTTTTTTAAAATTCTTTATTTTTTATTAAATGCATCTGTAAAATCTATAGGGGTCTATATTACCAGGTTGGTGAAAGACACAACAGTTTCATGCCACAGCTCATTTCTTCTGAAGAAACCATAATGATTTCCATCTTTCTAAAAAGGAGTATTTATTTTCTTGCTTCTAACTGTTCTAAGTAAATAAAAGGTACTTGCTATTTCATGCCCTGTGCTTTTTCTGTCTTTTTCCATCCATGTTATGAAGCCCCAAATATGCCATTCCAGAGTTGTTGCAGCTCTGTCAGTTGAAGGTCTCTCAGCAGTACTCTGTGCTCTTTAAGTACATAGGAACAGCCCAGGGCAGCAGATCTAAACAACTCAAAAAATGAAGAGTTAAAAAGGCTCAAGCTATTGAAGCTCTACTATTTGGCAGTTGGTCCTGTGCTTCCAGAGGGCTCATATGCACACATTTGTGTTGGGCTGTCCTGTCCCACCCAAGGCTAGAGTCTCATCCTTAGTTCCTCTGTTCCCAAGTGGATCCGACTCCAATGCCAGAGATTAATTGCCTAATTATCTATCTTACTCCTGCTTGGAAAGTTGCCCTCTGGCTCCTCCTCCTGGTTTTGAAATTTCGAAGGATGAGCCACCAGAAGCAGCAGAGGCTTGTAAACAGTCAGGAGGAAACAGGAATAGATTTTAGGCAACAAACAATTTCCAAGGACAAAATCGCAGCTATACAACATTTAGGAGCCTTTCTCCCACATACTGCAATATTTATTACCTTTTGTCACTTGGCACAGGGTATCACTGACCTCAAGATCAACATCTGATCACCTAAAGATGCTCCTCATTTGGTATATTCTTGCTATCTAGCCTATGATCTCAGGAGAGTGGCAAATACCCAATGCATCAGAAGGCTCACCAGGAAGCCTCCTGGTATTAAGAGTGAAAAAGCTACACATAAGGTCCTCGAACACTGATGCAAGGTCATCAAACATTGCTGCTGCCAGTCAGTAATTAAAAGATATATCCAGCAACAACAAATGAGTTGCTGTAGAGAAATTGAGTAGGAAATACAAGGGCAAGAAGCTGCAATACTAAGCAATTATGATAAGAAGGATAAAACGTGTAGCTGTATTTTAGAAATATCACTTTTTGTTTGGAGGAAAGAAAAATAGAATGTAGGTAAAATGGTGACAAAGATGAATTTCTAAAAATGTATGAAAATTCAGGTTGAAACAAATTACAGAAAAGACTGTGTGGAAAACATCAATGTCTGATAAAAATGAAAGGAAAGAAAGAGGAGTAATTTAAAAAGGCATCAGGGAAGAAAAGATTAAAAGATGAAGGGTAAACTGTGCAGAAAAAGCAGAAAGAGGGGACGTAACTGAAAAATAAAACAAACATTTTGGGTATTAAATAAGAATAAATATTAAGAAACTGTAAAAAAAACCAACAAACAAATGGTGAGGGGGAAAAAGTAGCCAATAAAGACTTATCTATCTGAATGTGTGTAGGGTTTATATACATACATTTTCTTAAAACATAATAAAGTTAGTAACAGATAATTTAGACATCTACCACATTAGAATCCCCCTCTGATGATAATGTAAGGCACATTTACAGCATAGCTGAGTTTGAAATAAGGATTTCCTCTCAATATTTATCATTAAGTTCATTTTCCTTAACACTAGGAATTCGAAGATAAACAAAGGCAGTACAGTGCCAGCATCGCCGTTGTATCTGGCATCAGAATTCAAGGCTGTGTTTCACACATAGGCTATTTTTACCTTACCCTGTACAATTACTCTTGAAAAGTTTCGCAAAAGAAAGCAAATAGAAGGGTATGGCTGTCGAAGCCTTTTATTTTCTGCATTGATCTTGCCGCACCACTGATAAGGGCTTATTAAATACAGCCAGTGCCAACTTTCCCATTGCACAGTTGGTCTCTGTGACACTTTACCACAGACATGAGGCGATCCAGGAGCTTGCCCTGAAGGCCTCATCCTACATGGCCACTGTCAGGACTCTGGAGGTAGCCACAGAGGAACTTTTATTTCCCCAGGACTCTGTGGGTCCTCATTAAGCGAAGAAAGGCAGGAATAAAACCAGAAACATTTTACCTCAGACCTCGAGTCCCCCTCACCTACTGGGCATTTCTTCTGCCATCCTCTGAGGAAACCTCATGGTTAGTTAACATTAAAGCTACGGGATACCAGCAGGACCTCGTGTCCGACCCAGCATAACCATTTTTACCACGAAAATGACACCAATTTATACCCAAGCTTCTATGTCGACCATTCTGGCTCTTTGAACGATCGAGCAGCGGAGCAGCCCCTCAGCAGCCGTCTTCCCTCAGGCGAGAGGGGGGCACCAGCTCCCTGCTGCGCGGCCGCGGAGGCACCGGGACGTGCCACAGGGCAGGGGTCGGGAAATGCCGGGGCTTCGGGCCCGGCGGCTGGCGGGAGGACGAGGGCCGGGGCCGGGGCCGGGGGGCGGCGCGCTGTCCCGGCATGCCCCGCGCCGGAGGAGCGAGCGGCCCTTTCCCGCGAATTCAGTTCAAAGGCGGGGGAGGGGAGAAGCGCCAAGCGGCACAGCGCACCGACCAACCAAACTCTTCCAGAACCATCCGTGCGTCACGCGGGGGCGGGCCCCGCCCGGGCCAATGCGGCGCCGCGGCGCCATCTTCGGAGCCAATGGGCGAGCGGAGGAGGCGGGCGCGTCGTGGTCGTCGGGTTCGGCTGGTCGTAGCGCTGAGGAGAGCGGAGCGGAGGAGACTTAGAGGAGTTGGAGCTCGGCGCTTCCCCTCCCCCGCCTCACC